AATAACAACAATGATAATAAATCTGAGAGCACTGCTATCTCCCCAACTCCTACAACAAAGAGTTGGTGATCAATTAATGTTTATTAAGTAAATAAATAAATTTGTAAAATGAACTGGTTTAAATCAATCATTTTAAATGTGCCCTCTAGCAGTAGAAAGTGGCCGCTGATCAGTACTGTTGGGCAAAGCTACCAGAACACATGAGGAGGGGGAAAAAATAATGTATAGACTTGGGGATGCCAGGTATATATCAAAAAAAGATCTGTTTGGAGTTTAGACACACCTTCCTAATCTCTGATTTGCATTAGCACATACTGTCACCAACAGCAGATTTAGGGCAGAACTGGTCAGCTTGAGATTTTTTGTAGTCTCCCATAACAGCCAGACCTCCAGTCGAGAATACTCTAGGGATCTAACTAACACTCAACCCACATATTCATCTATGGTTACTCTACTGAAGCATACATTATCTCCCCACTGCTGTAGTAACAGAGAGCTAACTGAAAACAGAGACTGTGACTTAAAGTTGGAGATAAGCCTGGTGGATTTCGATGCCCATAATCTTCTAGGTCCTGCATAGAGATTGCCACAGCAAGAGCATCTTTAGTTTGAATAAACGAAAATCAACAAGAATAAGTTATTTATGAGAATAGGCACAGATTTTTTGCATATGTTGTTGATAATGACGGAGCCACTGAAACATTAATAAATTAATAAGTAGCAGATTATGTAAGTCATTATAAGGCCTTTTAATATTATATATTTATGCAAGTGCCTTACAGACTTGTAGAATATGCATTTTCCACAAAATTAATAGAGCACTAAACTGGGTGTCAAGAACCAAGGGACTACACACACACACACACACACACACACACACACATTAGTCTCCATGTATATGTATAGCTCCTNTCTATATTCCAGACTGTGATAAGTACTTTATGTTTGTTTTGTTTAATTATTCTTATATTCATGTCCTTAAGCTTTCACTTAACCTCTCTTAAATTCAGTTTTTCCATCTATAAAATGAAACTGTTTTCAATGCCCCTTGCCCTCCTTACTAAACAAAACAAACATAAAGTACTTATCACAGTCTGGAATATAGAAAATTTCAGTACGACACATTTTTTACACAATTTTGAGCTTTGCCTTAAAGCACTTTTTCGTTGTTTGGTTGTTGACTGGTTAGGCATCCAGATACAGTTTGCTCCATATTTAAATAAAGAATAAAACTCATATATTTTGTTTTTTCAAGGAGAGAGGTAGAACTTGCCACTTTCTCGAATTTCAAACTTATTCTTTAATGTGAATCTGAAATTCAACTAACCTCAAAAGAGAGACAAATGGATCTCCCTTCACTGAAAGGTCACCTGTGAGGGTACTCCAAAAAGTTCACGGAAAGATAGAATTAGAAGATAATATGAATCTTTCCATGAACTTTTTGAGGTACCCATGTACTATTCCAGTTTATCAATGTTTCATTTTTGGGTTTTTTTGAGGGGGGGGTTGTTCGGGGTTTTTTTGTTTGTTTCTTGGTTTTGGGGGGGTTTTTTTGTTTGTTTGTTTGTTTTTTGCTATTTTCCTTTTCATTCTGCAAATTTTTCTCAGCTGAATTTATTCTGATGAAGCTGAGAATTGTGTCCTAATTCCCTTCCTGTTTTCCACAGTTCTGTTGTGCTGGCAGAAACAAACAAGACTAAGCAGTCTTTTACATGTTCTCATGGAGCCACACTAGAAACACAAACAAATAAGATCAAAAATCCAGTTTCAGGAAGGGTGGTAATGGAGGCAGAACTTCAGTTCATAGAAAAATAAGCACAAAGCAGATGCCTGAAACCCACTGTTCCTTACCCCTCACATAACATACAAGGGTACATCAAAAAGTTCATGGAAGGATTTGTATTATCTTTTAATTTTATTTTTCCATAAACTTTTTGAAGTACCCTCATATTCTTGGATCTTCTCACAGGACTAAAGACTGACCTCGAACATAAAAATGCACTACACGGCTTGCAATCAAATCCATATATAATTGTTGAGTTCACATTGTGAGAATCACAATGGATGCTATTGAATGTAAATTCACAACATAGCAGTGAAAACAGTGGGCCAGTAACAATTAGTTCTCCTCAATGGCTTTTCATCATTTCTTGAACTACCACTTATTGAATAACACAAGGTGAAGTAAGTGCAGGAAGAATGTATTCCACAGAAAAATAACAACAATGATAATAAATCTGAGAGCACTGCTATCTCCCCAACTCCTACAACAAAGAGTTGGTGATCAATTAATGTTTATTAAGTAAATAA